GACTTGTCTTTGACATCCCCTTCAGTGGGGGCACTCGTTTTGTCCTCTTCACTTCTTTCATCTTCCCTTCTGCCAACGGTTTCCACCGCAATTCCACCGCCACCACCTTCACTCCTGTCAGCGTGCCGTGCGGGTTCTACTGAAACCCTCGACTGTTCTTGCGGTAAATCTGATTCTTGTGGATTTTGTCTTCCTCCATTCGACTCCTGACACCGCTGATCCCGCTTCTCTTCCTGCGAACCATTTTCAACGGTACTGTCCCTCCCGGCACCGCCAGGCGTTGTTTCCCCACTCCCATGAGTTTGGCCACCGGATGACTGCACACTCGCCCGCAGCCACTGCACAAACTCCGGCTTGCGGCCGCAGTACTGCCCCTCAATCTCCGCCTCCGTCATGTCCCTCGCAGCCGCCCTCAAGTCCCTCCAGTCACCCTACGTGCAGTAGCCGCCGCCCCACGCACCGACACCGCCGACGCAGTACAGCACGCAGAGGGTACACACCAACAGCACACGGCCAGCCATCCCCACTCTTGTCACCGCAGCACACACACACGCACACGCACAGTCTAGCGAGGGGGAGAAAGAAGAGAGGAGGGTGAAAAGTGGAACACACACACGCACGCAGAAAGAGAGAGAAAAAGACCGCGAGGAAAGTAGCATCGTGAAGCCCCCATGCAGTGGAAGAGCAGGGGGCGAGTGGTTAAGACAAATGTGACAGCATCATCGTACTCGGGTGAGCCGCAACATCTCCTCAAACATGCGCATCTCCTCCTCGCACCAGAAACCATCATCACTGCCAGCGGTGGCGGCAGAAGTTCGCTGCGGTGAAATCTGACGAAAGCCGACTGTCGCATCGCTCGCGGCTGCGTGGGGTATCGCCTGGTAGGCCGCGTACGCAGCGTCGTCGCAGGCCTCGAGAGACGGCACGTGAGGCTCCAGCTGCCGAAAGACGTCCATCACCACTCGGCGTTTCGTCTCAAAATCAAACGCGGAGTCACAAAAAAGAGACGGGGAGTGATTCACCTCCATAAGTACGGGTTCTAAACCTTCCGTCAGCATGAAGTCAAAGCCAAGGAGTTCAAAGCAATTCCGTCCATCACTGCGTGAGCCCCGTGATGCACCGGTGCCAATGAATTCCCGTCGCAGCTCCTCCAATCCGGAAAGGATCGTCAGCATGATGCATAAGTCGATGCGGCGCAGCAGACACTCCCAGCGAGTCACAGCAGGAGCTTCAGCGGGCGAGTCCACATCGCGCTCCTTATCCGGCAGCCCATTGATGTAGTGTTGCAAAAACTTAAAGTCCCGCTTGTTGCCCTCACAAACGGCGCCATGACTCGTCTCTCTTGTGAACCCCACAGAAAACCCCTCTGCGTTCTTGTTGACAGCGTAATTCGTTAAGTGCACTCTCACCTGCCCGCAGCTGGTTCTGCTGGGGGCGGCATACTCCTCCGCGCAGATGCGCACCAAACCCTCTTGATGGACAAACAACTGCAGTCCATCAAGCAGGCCCGCGTAACCGGCGCTCGCAGCAGGCTGAAACGGCTGTGGCATGCCTCTCCTCAGGCGCGGGGGTCGTCCAGCCACGACAGAGGTCAAAAGCACATAAATACGAAGATCAAACTTCTTGCGCTCGATACAAAGGGGCGGCGTCACGTATAACTGCACAAGCCAATCCTCCCCGTCCTTGCCTGTCAGAGTTTCTAGCGCCTGAAGCGGCTCTGGCGTCAAAACAATTCCCTTTCCTTGGCACCCCCTGTTCGGCTTCAGGATGAAGAAGGGCTCGCTTTTGGGTGACTGCTGCTGCTCTTGTCGATCACAGAGAAACCGCTCCAGCTGCCGCAGCTCCGTTGACGCAGAGAAGCTCCATGGGAAGCCGCGCATCGCCGCGGCCAAGGCGGAGTCCACCTTCAGCTGCCGTCGGATGCGCATCAGCCGCTTGAACAGCACAGCCTTCCGGGCAACAACGTGCATGGCAGGAAAATGGTTCACCCGGTGGTGACACGACAACGCAGCAACACGCGAGGGCAGCACACTTTTGTCAAGCCACTGGATTTGTGGGCTACTGCCTGCGTCATAAGCCAAACCCCGTGGCCCAAGCCGTTTGGTATACGGCCGCACATCACTCCGCAACGCCACCTCGTAAAAATAGGCAGGGACATCTTCGCGGTTCTCATCTTCCACGTACCATCCCAGTGCCACTGCCGCCGCCCGTACCACGTGATACCGTGTCTGGCTGCAGTTCACAACAATGACCTTCCGCAATGTATCCACGTCGTTATCACGTGCAACGCCATTCATGACTTTCTCCTGCCGGCCATGCAGAAAACCAAAACAAAAACAAAGAAGCACACGCAGCAACAAGAAGATAAGATCCCAAACAAAAGTGTTCCCCGGCAACACAGAAGTGCACTGCAAGGCCAAACAACCATAACGACGGAAGAACAAAAAGAAAAAAAAAGATACAGCCGACTCCGTAGTTCGTTTCTTCTGCTCCCTTTCTCCGCTTCCCTCGCACTTTTATGCTCTCTTCCCATCCTCTCTTTTTTTCGAAATGCGGGAGGCGAGTGCACAGGTGCCATGTGCGCCTGTGAGTCTGTTTGTATGAATGAGAGCGGGTTTGATTGCACGGGCGATAGACAGCTCAGGTTCACATACATACACGCATACATACATACATGTATTCTCTTGCGCTCGGGCTGTGCTGAGCCACGGCTGCCCATCTCTATAAATGCCCTGGGAGCGCACAGGAACGAACAGCCTCAGGTACATGTCGCCGGGTACGGACTGTCCCTGGTGCGCCATCGTGCAACCAACAGTACTGCTTGCAGCCTCACTCTATCCACAAAATGCACCCTCGTTGGAACTCAAGACCCTCTTCTCTCTTCTCTCTCACACACACGCTCCTTCCCGCAACACCAGGAAGAAAGAGGTAGTGAGAAAAAGCCACATTGTCGCCAAATTTCAACTTCCGGTCCATCTTTCATTCAGGTTTCCTCTTCTTTATTTGGCGTGGGGGGCAGCGGAGCGTTTACCCCTTCTTTTTGACTTCCTTTTGGTCCTCTAAGTGGCGAACTAATCCGCCTTATGACCCTCAATCGTGTCCAGAATCTCCGACTTTGTTTTGTCGCGTGTGACGTCAATGTTGTTTTCCTTGGCGTACGCCCTAAGCGCGGCGACGGTCCACCGCGGCGTCGGATTTTCGCCTGGCCGCGCCGAAACGGAGCGCGAGCGCTTCGATCGCGACTTCCGCGGCGATGCTGATGCCTTTCTTGGCGATGCTGATGCCTTTCTTGGCGATGCTGATGCCTTTCTTGGCGATGCTGATGCCTTTCTTGGCGATGCTGATGCCTTTCTTGGCGATGCTGATGCCTTTCTTGGCGATGCCGATGCCTTTCTTGGCGATGCCGATGCCTTTCTTGGCGATGGCTTCGATGGGCTCGCCGGCTTGCGGGCTGCAGGGGACTGCGCGGGGCCGCGTTTAGTTGGGAGCACGGACTTCGTTGGAGTTCCTCGCTTTGGCGATTTTGCACGCAATATGCCGTTTGTTGAGGGGCTTCCACCACGCTTCGGCGTCGACTTACGCGGCGTCGCTGACGTCTTCGAGCGGACTTCACGCTTCGGAGTGGCAGAGCTGTTCGCTGGCATACGGTCTGAGCGACGGGAGGGTGAGCGGGAGGTGGAGCGACTGCGAGGCTTCGTGGGCTGCGGGGAATTTGTTGCAGCGTTGGGTGCCACTGTCTGTCGCCGCGGCGCGGTGGGCGTTGCACCGACGCTTCTCAAGAGTTTCGCACGCGTCTTGGGCGTCATTGGCGTTGACTTCTTCGCCGAGGCCTTCGCCTTGGCAATCACGCAACTCACGGAGTCGCGCGGCGGCGGCGTCGCCTCGCTCGGCCGAATGTTGCCATCATCGTCGTAGATGCGGTGCTTCGGCAGCGGCAGGTCGTTGTCGTCCACCTCCGGCTTGGTGTAAACGAAGTACCTCCAAAGCGGCATCGCGGTCTGCTGGCGGCGTTCAGCGCACTTGACGTCGCCGCGTTGCAAAAAGGCAAGGCCAGCGAAGAATGAGGAGTGAAGAGAAGAGCGGGCAGCAGATGCAGGCAGACGTGTTGCGTCTCCGTTGATGCGTGACAGAAAAAAAAAAAAGAAGAAGAAAGGCTGCCTCGCTGGCCGCAACACGCACGGCGGGACGTGCCCAGGCCCGGCTCACGGCGGTCTGCAGATGCACGGCGGGACACAACCTCCGCTGGTGGGGGTAAAAAAAAAAAAAACCTCCGGGGCCCATCAAGTTGTCGGGGTCCAGCGCGGTTTTGATCGACTCCTGCACGCGTCTGTGCATCTCGCCACGTTCCAGCGTCACGTACCTCAGTCTTCCCCACGCCCACGCCGTGTTCACCAGAGACCGTCCAGTCGCTTGCCACGGCGCGCTGCGCCAAGCGGCCCTCCAAGTCGCACAGCCGCCGGCACTCAAGTCTTGTCCTTAAACGGCACACTGAGGTGAAAAGTTGCCGTCGCTGATGCGAGCACAAATGAGGCCACTGAAGTTGTGCGCCGCAAAGTCGGCCTTCCGTCTCCTGAACCACGGCAGGCAACTCCACTAACGGAGCACAGACGTCTGTCGCAAGCATCTGCTCCGACTTCCCCCAGAAGTGCATGGCAGCGTAGAGGCAGCCACGCAGCCCCTTCCACACGGCGTCCACCTAGGCTGCAGCCTTCAGGAAAGGCACGGAGTACGCGCCTCCCGGACGCGCGAAAAATACTCAACAAAATTTTAAAATCAGCGCGTATGCGACGCAAAGAGGCGTCGCTATGGGGGAACTCCAGCAACACCGTAGCCATTACGGGAAGCAACAATTTACTGCACTTGTTTGCGGTCTCCATGGCCCTCTCGTTAAGAGACTCGCGGCGAAGGAGAGTTGTCGGTGCGCCTTGACGCTTCAGCGCCACCATCGCATTCACGGCGCTCTGCGTTGAATTAAACGTGGCCACTTCGCAGACAACTCCCAGAGTGTCCTCGCCGCCACAATACAGCTGCATCAGTTCCCGTCTCAAGGAGGGCTCAAGCATCATTCTGCGAGTCTCCATCGCGTTGCCCTGCAGCGTTACCATGCGAAGCGCGCGAATGTTCTCACGAGTGGTGCCGTCGTACTTGAGGGTTGGCACGCCGCTTCCGGAGGTTGGCACCATCCCACCCACACGCGGGTTCGTCACGGGGTTAGGGCCAACGCTGAGACCACGTTCCCGCGCCGCTTTCATCAGCTTCAGCTTCAGCTTCCGCGCACCAGCCCCCACCCAGACAAAGGAGTTTCTGACATCAGAGTCCATCCGCTGCAGCTTGCACATGCCGATCACCACACCGCCGGCGTGGGGAATGGTGCTGCCCTTAGTGCCGGTTCCAGCCCCCGCGGTGTCATGGGGGCCCCCCTTGTGAGCAGGGCGCAGTTGCACCACCGCAGCAACTTGTTCGATGCTGGCGGGGAGTACTGCCGCGGCGGACGCCACTGGCAAGTAAGGGGATTTATCGCCACTGTATAACTCCTGCAGTTTCTTGGAATCGGTGCTCAGCTGGCTGCCGGGTCTGAAAGCGCCAAGCGGGGTCCCGCAACTGAAGGCGCATATTCGGCTTGGCTTTCCGCCAAGCTTTCAACGTTGTGTTGTACACCAGAGGCATGGAAATATGTATATAATAATCCTCTTGCAGGGTGTTGTTCGCTTGGGGTATTAATTCATTTGTCGTCTTTGTGTGTGTGTGTGTTTTTTTTGTTTTGGTCCCTTCCTCCGCCCAGGCGGAATGTGCTCTACAGCCGCAGGGCCACTCTTCTCAACACGGCGCAGGAAGCTCGACGGGCACCACCCAACAGCCGCAAAGCAGCAAAAAGGTTAAACGGCAGGATGCAATGAAACACGCAAACAGAGAGAGAGAGAAGAAAAAAAAAAGCGACAGGCACGCACGCATCGGCGATCACGGTGGTTGTGGGAGACTCCGCAGCGTCGAATCGAGCGCAGCGTCGCTGCCATCGCTGCCATCAACAGCGCAGACGAAAAAAACAAAAATATATGATAATAATAACGGGAAAGAAACGACTTCCTACGGCCGAACCACAACGTAACTCCTCGTCGAAAGCCCGAAGGTCAAAATGTCACCTTCGATCAGTGTTGTCGAAACAAATGGCTGCAGTCGCTCACCGTTGAGGCGTGTGCCGTTGGTTGAGCCCAGGTCCAACACCTGCAACTCCACCGACCATGCGTCCGCGCCGTCGCCCAACTTCGCCATCGTCTCACGCACATGAGCGTAGAGTTCGCCAATGTCCTGCGTCAAGCCCCAGTCCATCTTCCTCCCCTCCATGTACGCCGTTGTCTGCTGATCCAACTCCTCAGCGTAGGCGTACACAAAGCGAACCTCCAGTGCAGCATGTTGGGCGGAACAACTCGGGTGGTCAGTGGGGATGTCGTTCACGTCCCGATCTTTACCTAAAAGTGTCACGGCCCGGCGTGAGACCGCGGCGTGCGTGGCCACAGGCTGCCCATCCTTCAGCACGCAGATGTTGTACGCTGGAAGATACGGCTGGAACATCTCGTCCGCAGCATTCGCAGAAGGGCAGTTGTCGCCTTCGCCAAGCGAAAGTTGATGCCACTTCAACACATCGTGAAGCAGGGCCCCGTGGCGTGTGCCGTCTGTGTGCCTTCTCCGCAGTTCCTCGTAAACGCACGCCACTCGAAGTAGGTGGAGAATACTATGGTCGACACCGTCCCCCTCTGTGATGCTGTGAAGAACACGCTGCGGCACTGTCAGCAACGATGGAAACCACTTGAGAGAGCGGCCCACTGAAAGACGTGACGCCATGACGGGGAGGCCTTGACGCACGTCATCTAACGCCCCTGTCCGCCCGTAGAAGGGTCTTTCCATTTCGCTCCGTGTCACTTCCCCTCCACACAACCCCCCCTCCCACCTTTTTTTTTTACTTTCAAATAGAAATCCGTCGCAACGCAGTCATCGGTGACAGTCGAAGCAACGCACACGCAACAAAGAAAAACAAAAGGGCAAACAAAAAAATGAAAATGACGGTTAGCAAGTCTGCGACTGCAAAACAAAAAGCAAACGGCTCACGAGGTTCGCCACCACCACCACCACCACGCTCGACGAAGCAAAGTGTTCAAGTGACCGCGCGGGAGGCAGCTGGTCAATCCACTCCCCCCCCCCCTTTACTTACCAGCCTCAGGCCTTTCTTTTCGTGCTTTCTTTCCTTCTTCTTTGCCGCCCCAACTCTAATTGCTGCCCTTCTCCTGAAGGAAACTCCCAGGGAAGTCTTAAAAAAAAAAATACAACACGCCACCATACATTGAAGAAAACTTGCGCCGAGGGAGTCCGTACAGCCAACCACCGCCCCTCCTAGGCGACCTAGGAGCACATCAACCTCTAATCTCCCCCACCCTGTCGCAGGACATGCTTCGGACGCCAGACAAGTGTGACTTGTCAAGCTGCATCCTCCTCTTTCATCCCCCTCCCTCCGCATTCGTTGGCGCCTTCTCGTGTGTTTGCCGCTACTGTATTACTTCTCTCCTCCCCACACATACACACGCCTGAAAGAAGCCAAAGACGTGTCTGAGTTATACAGTTTACAAGCGGGCAAATCTACAACCTCGCCGCACGGTAGACACCGTAGACGTCTACTGCCCATTTGAGCCAGACAAAGGCCACCACCTCCAACACCACAACGGCAGCCCACATTCCCCACGGAGAGCTATTGCGGCCGGTTTTGCCCGGTCTACCAGCGAGGATTGCCTCCACAGCGAGAGCCTCTTCAGTGAGGCATGCGTTTGCAGCGCGAGCCTGCCTGTTCGCCACAGGAGGTGAAGGCGTCCGCCGCTGCTCTCGCGAGGCACTTCTCGATGCCCGGGTGGTGGTGCGTGACGGCATCTCCTTACGGCCCTTTTTAGCCTTGTTTTTTGCTTTCGTTTTTTTTTTTGCTTTGATTGTGTTTGCAGGCATTGGACCCCGGCACATGCGCCAAGGCGCCAGTACACAAAGGCAAAAACAAGAAGCGCGAAGAAAAGAGGTCTCAAACGAAGCAAGAAAAAAAAAAAAACTCACCAATGAGACAATTCCCACGCGAATTATTATTACTTTGCCTTGGTCATGCACCGGGCCTAAGTTGCGTGTATGTAATGCCTTTTTCTATAAATTTTCCCTTCCCCTCCTCCTCAGCACGTGGGCAAACACGCACACACCTGCAGGACGTGTAGCAGCACACACGCCCGTACACGACGTCCTCCTCTGCCTAAATTATTCAGTTCTAATTATTTCGGATTTAAACAAACACACACGCCAAAACGAAAAGTGAAATATCACTGCAGACGCACACACAAACAAAAAGAAATAAATAAAACTCTTTCCTCCTCCTCCCCACCCCCACCCCCAGGATCGCTCTCTTGCTGGGCGTGACAACAAAGAATAGAAGCTGAGAGAGAAACTCACGGGGTAAAAATAGCACCGAGTAAAATGGTGCATTTAAAAAGAGGGCATGCGCCTCCAGGCACCACATATCTTCAATCGAGTTCATCATCCGGATGTGCGGGGGCGGGCGCGGGAGCAGGCGCGGGAGCAGGCGCGGGAGCAGGCGCGGGAGCAGGCGCGGGAGCAGGCGCTGGCGGGGTTGCACCAGTGGTGGCACTTGCACCAGAAGTGGAAGGGAACGATCCCCTTGCACCACCACCACCCATTGCTTTGGACATCATCTTCTGAATCAGAGGGCCCACCTTGGGATCACTCATCATCTGCAGTGCGGCCATTGGATTTTGCTGCAGGGAAGTGAGCTTTGCCGCCACCTCAGGGTCTTTCATGGCCTCCACAAACTCCTCATCCCGAAACAGACCCTCCATAAATGATTGCATGCCACCACCAGCACCGCCAGGGAATCCACCAGCACCACCAGGGAATCCACCAGGACCGCCAGGGAATCCACCAGGACCGCCAGGGAATCCACCAGCACCGCCAGGGAATCCACCAGGACCGCCAGGGAAGCCACCAGGACCACCAGGGAATCCACCAGGACCGCCAGGGAATCCACCAGCACCGCCAGGGAATCCACCAGCACCGCCAGGGAATCCACCAGCACCGCCAGGGAAGCCACCAGCACCACCAGGGAAGCCACCAGCACCACCAGCACTCTTCTGCTGTCTTTCCCTTTCCTCTTCACGTAATTCTTGTTCGCGCTGGCGGCGAAGAGCCTCCTGTCGCAGTTGTTGCGCTTCCTCTTCCTTATGTCGCTGGAACTGGCGGCGTGAGGCCGCCTTTTCCTGCACAAACTTTAGTAGCTCGCTCATTCCCTCATCGTAATCGACGGTTTGAGCCTCGCTGAGGTCTTTCAGTGCCTCTTCCCATTTGCCCAAGTGACGCCTGATGGTGCCGCGAACACGTAATGCCCGCACGTTCTCAGGATTGATGTCGAGAGCCCGATTGGCATCCCGCAGAGCAGCGCCTGGCCGTGCACACTGGAGCAAGTAGTTCGCACGCTGGGACCAGTACATCGCCTTTCCGGGCACAATCCGTAATGCCTGCGCCATTAAGTCGACAGCCTCATCCAGTTTTCCATCAGATGCACAGTCTGCTGCCTGTGCCTTAAGTTCCATGGCCTTCTCTTCATCCTCGGGTGTGGGGTCGGCGCTGCTGGAGGGTGAGATGCCATCATCGGGCACGTCCTCCAACTCCCACCGCTCCGCATCAGGCTCGCTCATTAACTTTTCCTCCTCTTTTGCGCTTGTTTCCTCCGTCTTGTTGATGTCTGGTTTGTCACCAGCAGGGCACGGTGGGGAAATAGATGCACCAAGCGACGCCATGTACGCCCGCAATTCCTGAAGTTCATCACGGTGTAGCTCCTCAGGATGGTTGCGCAAGTGCTCCACCACGCGGTTTATCGCCTCCAAGTCTGCTGCATTCAAGGCGGACATTGATACGGTGATATTCAATTAATTATTGTTTTGTTACTGTTCTTGCTGTTTGTTTGTTCGCTTTGACCTCTTCGTCACCAAAGACTCCTTATGCTTGCTATTTCGTCGCTGGAAGCCACGCACTTTGCTGAAGTCCAAAACAAAAGCAAAACAACAGGGAGGATGAGAGCCCAACGCGGCATTTAATTAGTTTTGCTCTTCTGATGCGGCAGAGCGTAGGTGCGGAGCGAAGCGGGCGTGCGAGAGAGAGAGAGAGAGAGACAAACAAACAGACAGACAGACAGACAAACAAACAAACAAACAGGGGGGGACCATTCGCTCAGCATTCACACCTCTTTCCCTCACGGCCACAGCGTCGGACACACATGGCACCTGCAAGCAAGACAAAAAAAAAAAAAGATGCACGTAGCGTATCCTCCACACGCACACCCACATGTGTATGTGCTTGTGAAAATAAGCTGAAATGAAAAAATGAAACAGGAGAGGTCAAGCTGCTGCTGCCGCTGCCGCCGCCACGGGTGAGGGAGGGGGTTCCGCTACACAAAAATATGTCAGAAGTTCCCGTCGTCGTTCCTCGTACTCGTCGGGTGGGACATTGACGACACCAAAGGTGCCGTGGAGAGGTCTCGCCTTTTTTGACTTTTTGGATATGGCCTCGGCGTTGACGCCGTACAGTGCCTTCATTGTGTCCTCACGCTGCGATGCATTCCCTCCCTTGGCCGCAGTATCCAACTCGCTTCCGTGTATGTGAGCCTTGGTGTCACTTTTTCGTGGCCTCCTTCCGTATCGCGTCTGTTTATGACACTGATGCAGCACTTCTTTTACATTTTCCACTGCAAATGCCTTTTCCTGATATTTTTGCGTAATAAATGTCCTGAGCGTCAACTCCGGCTCCGCCCCCGTCATAGACTTCATTCCTTTCGGCAGACGTGCCTCATAAAGCGACTTACCCCTTTCGTTGCCAATGACCTCCATCATTGCCACCTCCGACGCATGCCACTTGTCCATGTTCGTTGACTTAATCCTTGAGATGTGCACCCCTAGCGAGCGGTGAATGCCAGAGCAACGGATGCACAAAAAAACGCCGTGGTTTACAGATGCCCAGCGTGTGCCGTTGTTGTTGCAGTCATTGCAGATATTGTTTGGGTAAATCTGACAGAGGCGTTCAACGCGCTCCCGGTTGGCATCCCAGTCCTCCACTGTTTCCTCCTCCGCTGCCACGGCAACCACTTTGGAAGAAGCCACCTTCTCCTTGTGACCCTTGCGATGGTGATATTTGCGCTGCCGCTCCTTAGTCTCCCTATTGCTGTGCTGCATCCCTTCCGGCATCCGTTTCGGGTGTAAAGTGCACGAAGCTCCCGCGAAATGTGCCCCAATCTGGCGAAGGAAGGGCTCAGACGAGAAGGAGGGAAGACGAGTGAGGCGAAGACCACAAGGCGTCACGGAAGGAGGAAAAACAGACCGCGACAACGGAACACATCACATGAAATCCGAACCCTCCACCATCGAGTTGCGCACATGAGGCCGCGCGCCGTGTCCAAATACAGATGGGACCGACACCACGTTCCGCCGTCCATCGCAACGCCAAAGACAAATTTAAGCCTCCTCTCTCTTCCATCCCTTTTCTTCCCCGTTCACACAAATTCTTCGTTCCCCTTTATTCGTGCGTCAACAACCTTCTGCTGGTTACTCCCCCCCCCCCTCCCTCCCTTCCTCTCGCTCTTTCTTTTACTCTTCATCTCCTTGCTACATCGTGTTATTGCTGATCAGCGTATTCATGGAGCAAAAACGCCGGAGCAGAAAGGCGACAGCACCCACCAACGTCTCAAATCTCACGCCAGTTCCCTTGTTCGTTTCCTTCTCAGTTGTGTGTATGTGTGTGTGAGTGTGTGTGTGTGTTGCTGGGTGCCTTCATCGCGGGCGACGGCTACCGCACTGGGAGCTTTACTGGATATGAAGAAAAACAGTGTCTCCGGAGCGTACAGCGTCCCACGTCGCTAACTGCACTCCCCGGTCTTTAACTTTCACCTCCCTTGGCGGATATCCTGCTTTGAGGGTGCACTTGGGGACACCGCGTGGATAAGCCTCTGGCTGTTCCTGGTAGGCGCGGTAGGCCAAGTACTCAACTAGGAGATGTGCCGGAGTTGCTGGGTTAAGCCGCAGCGTCACCTGCCCCTTCGGCAGCCGGCAGCGGAGAGAGAAGGCGCGCGTCTCGCCTTCCTCCACAAGATACGGGCCGATGTCAACAATGTCTATCGTGGGTTCTGCCTCCGCCTGAGAGGGCTGTAATACAACGACCTCGGGTGCGTCATCGACGTGATCCTCAATTACAATTGGAGAGCCAGGGACTTCGACGGGAGCCAAATCAGCACCACGCGCAATGTGTTTCCTTCCCTCCCACTGTGAGGGCGACCCACGTTCTGCCACAAAGAAAAGTAACGTCTCGCCAACTTCACTCACGTCAAAGGTTGTTCCCTTCAGGTTTAACGGTATCCGGGACTCCTTCATTGTGGTGAGGGGGTTTATGATAAGCAAGGTTGGGATGTCCCTCTCCACATCGATGCGGTACCCATGCGCCAACTGTCCCCCACGCTCTGAAACCGCACTGATCTGGTAGATTGAAAACATGTTAAGTGTCTCACGCACTCCCTCAAAGCGCCAGATATCTCTGCTGACGCACATACTGGCAAAGTTATCCCCAACCAAACTTAACAGAACCCACTGATCCCTGTCCAATGCCCGCCCGCAGAATTGTGAGAAAGCTGTGCCTGCCTGATGAACAAACGGGGGAAGCGCAAAAAGAACCGAGGTCGGGCCTGCATCGGAACTCGTATCAGGCTGCGTTGAAAACGGCATACCGAATGGGTTTAATGGACTCTGTTGCCCCAATGACGCGGTGAGAGGCTGCTCTTGTCTTGCTCCCACACCACCGTCAAGCCTGCTGATAAGATACGGTGGTGTTGTCTGCCTCAGTGATCCGGAAGCTGAGGTCTCTGACGGCAAAGATACACCACGTCCTGTTGGTCGCGGGCGCGCAGGCAGGGTTTCGTGCTCCGCCACGTAGAGCGAGTGGGCCGCCGCAAGGTCAAAATTGGCGTTAGCAAGATAGCCCACCGCCTGCTCCTCGTTGCAGCTAGTCATGGCCATGAAGGTGGCCACCACGTCGTCTTCGCTCATCTCTCGCTCGCTTCTTCACTATCGCCCACCTTACGGGGTTGTTTCGTGTTTTGCCTGTGGCTGCAGCTCCCTCCTCGGCGGCTTCTGAGTGCCTGAGTTTATATATAAAACGAAAACAAAAAATTGAGGGGCTCTAACTTCTGTGGAGGCTGTGCGAGTTTAATCCCGAGCCGTGTCTGCAGCCTCCGCTGCTTCCTCTTCACCCTCACAGAGTCACACCGGGCGATAGACACAATAAACCCCAAAATTAAAACCTAAAGCGATAGCCCGATCTTCACTCTTCTATTCCTTCACTTCAGACCCCTTCGCTAATAAAAATCTCGTCCGCTGCCCACATGCGCAATAAAATAAAAAATAATAAAAAAAGTCCAAGAAAAACAACTGGAACGGACACGACAAAAAAAGGCACCGTCCTTGAACCACATTCACAACACCTCTCCGCAAGATCCAATCCAAACACCACCGCTCGACGCCAACCACACTGCCCTTCAGTAATCACTCTTGCATACATCTCTGCCAACAAAGCAGGTAAACGTTATCCGTCCCTCACCACCACTCGCAAAGCACAAACTGCGCAGGACGACCACAACAACAACAAAAGACAAACTCAACAAAAACCAAAACAAAAAAAAATCATTTACATCAATAAAACCAAACTCGTCCCAACACGCAAACTAAAAAATCATCAGTAAACACAACAGACATAATAAAGCAATCACATCAGTAAACAAACATCACACCAACCCAACAAAATACAGAACTTTCACACACACACACACACACCCTACAACTTATACAAAAAAAATCCCATCTCCTTTATCACCTCCACGGGAACCACCTGGAACTATCGCTGCTGCGCTCTTGGAGTCCAGTTCCTGCCACTGCTCTGCATGCTGCTCTACAATCGGCGCGGCGTCCTCCGTGGCGGTCTTTGGAACTGGTTCAACCCCACCCGGCACGATCGCTGCTGCGCTCTTGGAGTCCAGTTCCTGCCACTGCTCTGCATGCTGCTCTACAATCGGCGCGGCGTCCTCCGTGGCGGTCTTTGGAACTGGTTCAACCCCACCCGGCAC